ACTGTTTCTCAAAGTGTGGTTCCTTGACTAGAAGCAGCAGGAACTTGTTAAAAACGCAAATTCACAGGGCTTACCCTAGATCTCCTGCGTCAGAACCTCAGCCCCAACAATCTGTTTTCACAAGGTTCCAGGTGATTCTGATGTAGGCTAAAATTTGAGGAACTCTGTTAAAATTGTCCTTATTCTTAAAAAACTTGAAATTTAGCACTTTTCAATCTCCAATTTTCTTGCCTATTTCTAGACATATGGATATATAGTCTAATATATATTTATAAATAAAAATACGAAAAAATATATAAAAGGAATTATGGGCATGTTAAATTGATAGAACTGAAATATTTTTTTAAAGACTTTGTTTATTTATTAATTACAGAGAGAGAGGGCAAGAGAGGGAACACAAGCAGGGAGAGCAGGAGAGGGAGAAGCAGACCTCCCTCTCAGCAGGGCTCTATCCCAGGGCCCTGGGATCCTGACCTGAACTGAATGCAGGTGTTTAATAAATGAGCCACCCAGGTGCCCCTAGAACTGAAACTTTTTGAGGTGGTATCTATGCAGGTACGATTTCCCATGGTAAGGTGTTGCCCAAGGCACAGAGAATGTCTGTTAGGTCAAGCTTGAATAGCAGTGCTTGACTACCAAAATGCATGATCATTTCATCTGTGTGCTTATCAAATACAACTTATTTTTACTTAGCACAGATATTCTTGTTCTAAAATGTAAAAACAAAGGTTCTGAAATTATGCCCAGAATTTTAATTTTAAAATTTACATTATGTTTATGTATGGCATCAGGCACATAACCTGACGTTCCAGTCTTCTCTGTATAATTTTTCTATTACTGTCATTCTAAAACTCATGTGCAGTTTCAAAAGAAACTTGCAGTTGGCTTTTTAAAATGCAAATATTGTTATAATATGCACCTGAGCTCTGAAACGTCACTCAATTGCCATTAAAATTTTGTGGGCAAGTTGTTTCAAATGTGGCTAAAGAGCGCTGAGGGGGAAAATGTCTAAGCCATATATTTTCACCTATACGTCAAAGACATCTGTTGATAACGGGACAGCTATTTTAGTTCTCATCTGAGAGATGAAAAACAGAGTTGTAAAACTGTTTTTAGTATTGTCTTAGAGCTGCGGTCGGCTCCGGAAAAGCAGTGAGAATTCACGTAGCATTTTCTTTCAGGAGGAAAAGTTTTATCAAGAGCATTAAATTTCTTTGGAGACGTAGAACTTGATGAGGTTGCATGAAATACACGCTCTCCTCACGAACTGGAACATGGAATGATAGCCTGGTGCCAACACCAGGATCCCCCCGGGGACCAGTGCCCTGCCTGCTGCTGTGCCCCTTCCCTCCAGCTTGGAGGCCTTGAAGTTGTTAGCACTGGTGCTAACTAAATGTAAACACCTTTACTTTCCAGCTGCTGCTAATTGGTTTGGGAATATTTATGTAAGTGTTGATTTTAAGGCTAAAAATAGTGCAGTGATGTTTAAATCCAACTCATTCTGGCTGTCAGAAATGCTCCCATGATCCTGAAAGTGTTGCTAAAAATGTTCACTTTTTAAAAATTGTAGTAATTAAACTTGTCTGTTGTGAGAGCCACATATGATATGTTCCCTTCTCTGATAAAAGAGATAAAGGACAAGCTTCTTCAAGGCCTCTGCTGGGTTGGCCAGACTCCTCCTCCCGCTGAACTTTACCAGAGAGGAAAAAATTGTAAATGCGGGAAAACAGAGGAGACAAAAGAAAATTTTGAAGTTGCTCTAGATCCTCCTATTCTAGGTAGGGGATTGCATCTATTTTAACTTAACATTAAACATAGGAATTATAATAGTTTTATTAATACAATTAAGTGTAGAGCTTCCCAAACTTGACTTTTTAAAGGCAAGTTGGGGGACTTGAAATCACATCATTAATATTTCTCAAGTCTGAAGTTGAAGAAATATCATGTCTGTTCCACACCATTTGTTTATACCTCTCGTTCTTCATCCTCAGATTATTTTTGCCCCTTTACTTCCCGGCTAAAAAGTCGGATTTCACAGATTGTTCTCAAAGTTACTTACGTAAGCTATGGGAGGGGGGAATTCATTTTTAGATACATGTGATTTCGTGACTCTTCACCATGTAATTTAGGGAAGGAAAAGCCTAAGCACCCCTAAATTATTACTTGTCAGGTATTGTGTAATTTTCAGAAAAAGTGAATTTATGGACCCCGTCAAGAAAGAAGTTGCTGTTGTCTCTAAGTCTGAAAGCCCCGCACTGCTCTCGTGTTGTTCAAGTCCATTTGGCTTTGGCTTCCTGTCCTTGCCTAACGCCCTGAGCATCTGTCTGCCTGCCCCATCTCTAGAGAATAGCAAAGAATTCTGTTATTGCAAAAATAGGAATGATTTTGGCAAGTGACACTCACTGCCCATTAGTTGAGATGATAAACTCTAGTTTATCACAGCCCTTTTTTTTTGATAGCTGTGGCGAAGCAAAGACTTTTCAATGCTCCTTTTAAAATAGTGGAACTCTTGTCTTAGAGAAGTCTGTGAATGTGTGTGTGTGTTCTCTCTTAAGTCTGTGGTTATTGACATAATTGCTATAAAGCCGTAGTCAGTTCAGAATTACCCTTAAGCAGAGTATCACGTTGCAATTGGCCCAATATTGCTTTCAAATTCTAATTGACATTTCCATATACTTAGAGCATTAAGTATGTTGTTGACATAAATAGAACCTTTACTTACCATCTAACTGGAACTAGAAAAAAAGTTATTTTAACCTTGTAGAATATTGATTTGAACCAGAAAGTGTGCTCTTTTCTTATCTTCGTAAGTGATCAACAAGAAAATTCCACTTGGAGTAGGAAGCAAAGAGACAAAAATAGTTAACATTTTATAACATTATCCCAGTTTTTTCTTTGACATTCTGAGAATGTATATCCATGAAGAATTACAGAACCAGTAAGAGGATTTATTTCAACTGATACCCACTGTTAACTGTTCATGGATGTAAAACCTTTATACTGTTAGCATGCTAATACTCTCTAAATTGACATCCGATTCGGTGTGATTCTTACCAAAATCCAGCTGGCTTTTTTTTTTTTCTTGCAGAACTTGATGTTCTGATTCTAAAAATTGTATGAAAATGCAAGGGACTCAGAAGGGCTGAAACAAACTTGGAAAAGAACAAATGTGGGGAATTCTCACTTCTGGTTTCAAAACTCAGTACAAAACCAAGTACTCAAGAGTGTAGTACTGGCCTAAGGATATATATGTAGATCAATGGAATACAGTTGAGAGTCCAGAGATGAGAGACATGACTGGGGCTTTAAGACCCATGATTTTTTTTCTCGCTGACCTCTTGAGATGTTGACGCCTCATGAGAGATTCTACCCCAGAACTGTCCATCTAAGCCACTTCTAAATATTTGGCTCACAGAAGTTCTGAGAGACAGTAGGGTTTTTTAATCCATTTAATTTGGGGGTAATTTATTACACGGCTTTAGGAAACTAGTACAATGCCATTCTGCTCATACATTCATTAATATCCCCTAAATGAGCCCCGTGTGTTGGGTACTTAAGAGAGTACTAGACATGCCATGACCCTTCATAGAACTCCCTCTCGTATAAGAGAGTCGGGGAAGAAGGTGCAAATGTTCTGACACGTGCAGTAGTCACGAGTTCAAGCATTTTGTTAAATTATCTACCTAAGTATGTTTGTAAGCTGACAGCCCGGTGTTTTCTCTGTAGGCATAGATCAGGTCCTTCATAATAGTAGGTATGTTTGAAAGCTTTCAAAGATTTGGTGCCTTAAACTAAAATGTATTTTTTGAATTTCTAGATTTTCTTCACTTTCTTTATCCCTCTAAAAGGGTGAAAAAAAATTTTTTTAAAGAAAAAAATCTAGTGTAGAACAAGTCCCTCACAAAACCCAGAACCCCTATGCGAAATGTTGCTACTCCGTCTAAAAGTGAAATACATCTTTTTAATCATTTCACACTGATAAACTGCTTGAATTGTGGCTCCCTGCCTTGCTTTCTTCAAGATACTAGCCTAGTTCCTTTACGCCCAACCTCTTAACTGATATATTGTCTTTTTTGTTGTTGTTGCAAGGATGCTTCCGGATCCGTGAATGTTCTGTTTACAGGTGTGGTGATTGACAATGGGTCCTTCTCCGTGTGGTTTGTTGGCTCAGGGATACCTGAGTCCATGAGTAACAGGCTTTATGACTTTGCTTCTCAAGAGTGGTATATCTTCAGAATCCCTCTGCTCAAGTGCAGTTCCAAAGCTTAACAGAAATCTGATGCCTTACAAATGAGATTCAAAATCAAGCTTGCTTTTTAGAATCCATTCCATGTAACATCCAACTCAACATGGCCACTGTCCTGGAGCGCTTGCCTCCTCTGGCCCTCTTAGCTCTCTGTAGTGGAAGAATGTTTACCATTTTAGGAATTAAATGGTTAATTTCAGTTTCCTTCTGCTGAAGATCATTCTCAGAATGAGAGTCTTGTGACAGAGTAAGAACTCCAGATTTCTTTTCCCGCCACAGTCCTGTTACACTTCCGACAGAAGTGACCTTGCCGGGCAACTTTTTTTTCATGAATTTTTTTTCTTTATATTTTTAGTGTCACCAGGGGGTACAGGCAAGTACAGTACATTAAAGCTAATACATCACCACCTGTCAGTGGCACCTTCCCTTTGGTACCCTTCTCCTTGCTGATTTAAAACACTCCATCCCAAAAGCTTATGGTTGAGTAGCAGGAAGCTAAATGATGTATTCCAAAGCTCTTAACATATTGCCTTGTGTAAATGGCCCATTTGAGTATTTCAGAAACCAAACAGGAGAGAAGAGAACATTGAAAGCCCTGAAAAGATTAACACCTGTTTCCAGTCTTCAAAAAAATCGGAGCATGCTATATATATTGAGAGTAAAACCACTTGCTGTCTCATGTTGAGACATTTTATTCAGATTTGCAGTTCGACATGCGTAGCATCCACATGCTTATGGGTTTGTTTGACTACAGGATTCCACACAGAACTTAGAAGATGGAGGAGTTATGAATGGTGTACAGACCGAACCACTGACATCGCTGAAAACCAAGGATGCACTGAGGTATTCTCTTTATGTGAATCAGACTATTTTAGTTATTACAGGATAATGTTTCTCTAACAGTTGGTAGTTTTTATTTTATAGAGAAGGTCAGGATAGGTAGTAGAGTGGAATGAAACCTGTCCCAATTCTAAAATTAATTAGTCACTCTTTTATTTTCTTTTTTGATGGAAGAACTTCCTGACAAACATATATAAATGAGCCTCCAAGTCTTTCAACCCTTCAGCAACCTGGATTCCTTAATTGCTTTTTTCCTCTTTGAACAACAGTTTAAAGTGAATTTTCAGAGTTCGTTGTGGTTGAGTGCTCTACTTTGACATTAGCTCTTTGAATATTGTTCTGTATTCTGTTTTAACCATCTTGCAATATTTTACTCAATGTATATAAAATGAATCCAGTCTATCACCTAGGATTTTTCGTGGTTTTAATGTAAGTAACTCATTATATGAAGTCATTTGCTCTCATTTTCTCCAGTACTTACTTTGTTCTACACTATTTGCCAGTTCTGCCTTAGCTTACCACACAGGTTGCGTTCCCAGTTTTGCTGCTTTCTAGTTCTATAAGCGTAGGCAAGTTATTCATGTCCCTTTGCCTTAGTTTCTGGTATGTAAAACAGAAATAATGTTAAACCCTTCTTCAGAAGGTTGATATGAGATTAAATGAATTCATGTGTGTAGAACACTTCCAACGGTGCCTGGGCCAGAGTGAGCCATGGGGGTAGTTGCTGTCGTTGGCAACCATTGTACTGTGTTCAAGATGACGGTGGTCGTGATGGTGATGGTGATGGTCATGGTCATGGTCATGGTCATGGTCATGGTGATGATACCACCACCACCACCACCACCACTCTTACCCATCATTTTTTGTAAGTTACTTTGAATTTTGTGCTAGGAAAGTAATTCCATGTTTAATGGATGGTTGGCTTCAGCACTTAGAGGTGATGATTCTAAGGTTGATGGCCATTCACTCATTCATTTACCCAACATACTCTTTTCATTCAGTCCAGTTACTAACAGTGGACAAGCGTTTTTCATGGAATTAGCTTTAAAAAAAAAAAATGTGATCATCCTTTATCACACTGATTTACTGTGTGGGCTTCCCTCACACAATTTATAGCCACATGACATAGGTGCTCTATTTAGATTATATTGCTTTGATGAATGAGATACATAATATTAAAAATTTGGTAGAGAAAATCTCTTGGGCACTATCTTTTTAGAAGCTTGACAAGATTGTTTTTGGAGGCGGGCATAATGAATGTAATACTCTTCTGTTTGCCTTTAATTTCATTTTTTTCAGTGTTAGCTTTTTGAAAAGTTTGTAATCATCTTGACTAAATGTTATGTGGATAGATGTCATTGAGTGTGAACCATTGTTTGATTTATGGCTACATGAACTAATTAACTAAACTCTCTCCAGGTACAAAGAATTGAGAGGAATGGAGAATAGGAATTTAAAAAATTCTTTAATTAAAATATATGTGTATACATGCACAATTTTTGTAAGAGTTTTATCACCACATTTAATAGGCTGATGAATTGTAATTCAAAGCAATTAAGTAACTTGTAGAGACCCAATCTCTATCCACTACTCTTGTCTCTAAAGCCTTCAACTCCAGTGTTATCTGTTGTATACACCTCCCCTTATTCTTTGGTGTTTTATTTTATGCTAAGAAACTTCATGTGGTGAGCACCAGTTTGGAGAAATCAGTGAAATCAGGTTGAGGCCAAGTTCAGAAAGCAGAGTAAGTGCAGACTCCCAGCACCTGCAGGCTCTTGGGTATGGAGAGGATGAGAAGGATCTTAACAGGATGGCATGCACAGCTAGCAGCAGGAAGCTTGGAGATTACAATTCCAGGAAAAGACTTGGGTTCTAGCTGGCATAGGGTGATGAAGAAACAAAGGAAGAATGATTAGGAAGCTACTTAGAGCTGAGTTATTTGGTCATCATTCTCCTAGGACAATGAGGGCATGCTATCCCACAGAGCTTGGCCCAAGAATAGAGCTTTGGGCTCACTTTGATGTAGGTGGCATAAAAGCTCAGCAGATTATTTCCATAGTCCATATCAAAATATTTTGCACCTTTTCTGTATTTTCAACCCCATAGTCATTGCTTAAGCTTTTATTACCTCTCAGACTATTGTAGCAACCTACTGTCTCTTCTCTTGAATACCAGTCTCTTTATCCTAATTGATCTCCTGTATCACTCACACTGCTAGGTAAAAATTTCTTAAACCACAGCATTCAACAAACCATTCCTACATTCCAGTTGAATTTTGTTAAATCCTGGGTTTCAACACTACCTATGTAACCTTAGACTAATTATTTAACCTCTTTAGTTTTTTTAATATGGAAGATGGGTATCATCACACAGATTATTGTGAAGATTAAATGAGATTTATCACAGGCAGTTGTACTCAGCACAATACTAAATGAACAGATAAATATTAGTTGCTACTGCAGTTATGATTAGCACACGTACCGCGGTTTATTGTGACTGTCATTGTCCCATATAAGACTGTGAATCCTCCAAGGGATTCTTGACACGTCATACAGGTCTTGGAACATACTTGTTCCAAGTAGCATATTTGTTCAGTGAATGGTTAGAACACATTGCTCCATAAATCATAAGCATCCCTATTAGCTGCTTACACAGCATTTACACAATTTTATTTAAAGAAAAATAACCATAGGAGGGGGTTCTCCAAATAGTCTTATAATATGCGTCTCCTATGAAGCACTACTCAATTTACCTTGATCTTAAGATGATGAAGCAAGAGATTTCTATTGGGTGGTTTTTGTTTGGTTTGGTTTGGTTTAACTACACTTTAAGCTTCCCTCCCTCCCTCCCTGCCTTCCTTCTCTCCTTCCTTCCTTCCTTCTTGAAGGGGAGGCAAAGAGAGGGGGTAGAGGAAGAGAGATAATCTTAAGTAGGCTCCACTCCCAGCATGGAGCCCCATGAGGGACTTGATCTCACAACCCTGAGATCATGACTTAAGCTGAAATTAAGAGTTGGATGCTTAACTGAGCCACCCAGGTTCTGTAAAGCTTCTATTTCAACAGCAAGCGATACATGCAAAAGACCTTCACGTCATCCCTAAGTTCAACTTCATTTCTGACCTCAACCTATTCCTTGACACATTTCCAAATTACCCTACTCCAGACTTACCTCTTCTCCCACGCTTAAAACAGCCATCAAGTTTTATTCTTTTTTGCCTCTTATATCCATTCATTTGACAAACTATTGGTAGAGTCCATGTCAAAAAAAAAAAAAAAAATCCCTTAAACCTTCCCCCAGGTATTCATGCTTTATTCCTGTGATGCTCAAGCCCTATTACCTCTCCAATTATTGCAATAATTTACTAATTCCTGTCTCAGGGACCAGTCTCTATCTTGTCTTACTCTTTTCTAATCGATCCCACATATCACTGCCAGATAAATATTTCTAAACCACAGCATTTATCACCCTACTCTTTAGTGCCAACACCTTTAATGACTCCATTTTCTACCAAACTAAATGTGTTTTTTTTCCCCCGTATGGATTTTGACATATCACTCTGAGATTTGATCTCAAGCTGATGGTTCAACCTTCTCTTCTCAATACCTCCCTGTCTTTTCCTTCCTTACTCTCTGCTCACTAGCCTCTTTCTCTAATATCACAACCAGTCTGTGTGCTCACAAACCATCATGCTTCAGTGTCTCAGAGCAGACTATGCTGTTTCCTCCACATGCCCCCACCATCCCCTCACCTACTTTCTCTGATTAGGGATCCATTTGCCCTTCTCACTTCCATCTAAACTCCTCCTTCAGGAAGAGTTTCCTGATCCCAGCTTCCCTTCCTGATCCTGTACTAATTTCTTCTGAGCCTCACCAGGAAGTGCCTCTACTTTAAAACTCATGCAAAAGTAGCTTAAAACTCCTGCTCTGCAATACAATAAATTCCAAGGTGAATCCTGACTCTATCTTGTAGAAGTGGTGTGAGGTTTGGCAAATTATTTTACCTTTCTAGGCATCAGTTTATGTATCTGTAAAGTGGGTCTGATATGTTTTACTTTATATAATTCTGGTGAGAGTACATGGTATATTCCTAGAAGGCCATTAACACAGTGCATCCCAAATCATAGTTTATAATCATTGAAAACATACTACGATGACTACTATCATTCCATTGCTTTGTGTTATTCTCTATTACCTGTCTTATCCTGCCCCCCCTATACTGTGAACTCCTCAGATATTGGCCTCTATGTTTTCCTTAATAGAACTACATCATTGAAACGACTCAATTAGTGTACATTGAATTCAGGTACATTGAATGAATCCCACCACCATCAACAGATTTTTTGTTAGGCTTTTACTTAGTATATTTGCATCAATAAGACCTCACGATCAAGCATACTTGCCTGCCATCAACACACTGTACTGGGAGGTCTCTCGGCGTTCCATCTCTCACACTGTTCTGTATGCATATGACGAACCTGTGCATTAGTGCCTGAAGACCCCCAGCCAAAACCTTCTATCCATTTATTATCCATCATCATCTTTGTGGCAGTAGTCTAATCATGAAGAAAACATGTTCCTCATCCCTACAGTACTTGAGGATATTTTAAAAATCTCACTGAGGAAATCAGTTGAGAAAAAAGTGGAAAGTTTGAGATAATTTCCTTTTAATCCATAAACTCTTTCCCTCAAAAAATTCTAATAATCATCCTAATAGCTGATGGTTATTGAACCTCTTGTACACACCAGATACTATGTGTATGAGGTACATGTTATGTCCTCTAGTTGTTTTTAAACCAACAGTTCTATTAGGAATTTATCTTAATTTCCCCTTTGTCCAAATAAGGAAACTGATACTTCTGGTCTTTGTTTAAATGCTTGGCTCAGATATCTGACTCAAAGCCACCGCTAAGATACACTGCTAATTTTGTAACTTAATCATGATTTTCTTCTGAAACAAGGACACCCCCCACCCAGCTTGCCCTGAGTCCTCTGTCCCTTACCCTACATGAGTAGCCTGTGCCTTTAAACTGTGAGTTTAATAATCTCAATATTAAGAATGCTGTCCATTTGCCTCGTGTGAAGAATTGTACCTGCAGCCCTCTGCAGCTCTTATCTTCTGTCCCTCAGACTTCATGTGTTTCTTCTGGATGGAGCCAGATGAAGACCTTGGCCATGGAGTTCCTGCGGAGCAGCCGTTCAGGACAGGCTCACTTTTAACCTTTTATTCTGTACCTTCACCCCAAGTTTTGTCCTAAAATCTTAGGTAGCAGCTGGTCCCAGGAATTATTTGAATCAGTGTTGTCAATTGGATCTTAGGACATTTCGCTTGATCTAATGTCGGATCTAATGTTCTGTGACTGTCCACTTTGGGTTTCATTCTCTAAAGTCAGCCGTTTCAATCTTCGTGACACTTTCAGCTTTTCTTTGTGTACTCGAAGTATTTTTCCCTTTACCCCACATTTCACTTTTTTGTCTGTTTCTCACAAGTAGCTGCCGATCCCTTTTTCTTTCCACTACCAAAAAATTCTCTCCACCTCATTCTCTAAATTTTCTGTTCCCAGTCAGCCTCCAGAACGTAAATTATCGTGTACATAACTTGCTCACTGGTTGCTGAAACTTACTCTGCACTTGGACTAAACAAATGGCATTGATTGTGTATTTGCACATCTTAGTAAAATCTCACTTTATGAGATAATTGTGTCTAGCCCTACTTGCTGTGTTTATCTTTCATTAAGAGTATATATACAGAGATTTCTACAGAATTCCATCAGGTATATGGAATGCAAAGATCCCCCCCCCTTTTAATATAAGTAAAAATATATGGTCTATGAGGCTTCCTTTTTCAAAAGCTTTTCTGTCCATCTTAAAATAATGGATAACATTTTATAAAGAGCATGGTAAAACACAACCTGTATAAAATTTGTAATATTTGTCTATATTAAGTAGATTTAATTACAATATACAAAATCAACAATCCTTCGTGCTTTTTTTCTGGGATAACATTTTTATGATAGTCATTTAGGATTTGTCACATGTCTTTCTAGCCAAAGAATTGTGATTGCCATGTACATAAATAGAACAAGAGTTTATTCTGAGGTCTCAAAAAAGAGAATCTTATGAAGTATAAATGAACCTTTAGATTGCATCCCCAAGAATGGGTATAGTGTTTTAAAACAAGGTTGATTGCTTTAACAAATTATAAGATTTACTTTATTAAGTGAATGTAAAAATAAAAGATTGATAGTTCCTAAAGAGTATGTATCGGTATAATACATAGAATTTATTATGTTTTACAGGAAAGGTTTTGAGTTGGGTAAAGAAATATTTGCAAAAGAGACCAAAAAAAACAAAAAAAACCTCACAAACACAGAAACAAAAACATAAAGCCATCCTAAAAATTCTTAAGCTGAAATCTTGAACTCTATACTAAACACACTTATATTCTAAAAGCCTCTCTATAGTACATATGAGTGCTATCTCTCAGCTCGTAGACATTTAATATACTTATTGGGAAAGATTTGTGTTACGTTCTAAGTGTAAAACAAAAATACACTGTAAAGGTAGAGATAATAAAGTTTAATGATTAAACAAGATTTTCATCTTTGTTTTTAAAAGTCTTTAAAATGATACCATAACCCTAGAATGTTAATGCTCTGGGTTTAGTCTTTCTCAAATACCTACGAATGTACTATAAATCTGTTATTATGTAAAAAGTATTGCTTTGTGATCCATTAAGAGCTATGCAACTTTCTCTACCCATCAGACAGTTTCTATTTAGGATGTATAGTACATACATATATATAGTATTTCATATATTATATATATACTTATATATTTATATATATATTCATTTAATATCTATATTCTCACACAGAAAGTATCAAGAAGAATCATTTTATCCCATGATATTATCACTCTAAGATTTGTTTTATTTCTAACTTTTACCCCAGGCCTTTGATATAACCTGCTTGACTGAACAAGTTTTAAATATATCAGCAATATCTGAGCAAAACTCATTTGAAGTTTATTATCAGATTTGAAATTCTATCATACTCCACAAATGTTAGAAACTGACATGCTTTTTTTTTATAGTTCTTAATGATAATAAGTTTGCAATGAAAACACATTAAAAATAAGCCTAGTCCACTGATGGGAATATATTTAATGTATTTATTTTAGAAGGCTGATAATTCAGGGAGTGCTACATACTGAGTGAATTTATCAGGCATTTTGCTTTCTTATGCTGTTCTCAACTTTCTAGCAAGGAGCCAAAATTTCACCATTTTCAATTTGGAACAGAAAAGCATTTGTAGCAGCTGTAGCTCTTAATTTGACATCTAGTTTCAGGTCATTTTCATGTAAATAGGAAACAATAGAGACCTGCTTACAATTTCCATAACAGGGATGCTTGCTTCAACTTTATCATTTTTCCTCTGGCATTTTATTTTCTCTCTGTGGGATTAAAGGAGCCAATAATTGTTCACGGTTATTATTTTTCATCTTTATAAAAACTTGTTAGTTCCACTCTTTATTACTCAAAGTTTCCCAATATCTTGTATATTTCAGTCATACACACTATCCATTAATGTTTCTAGCTCATCCTTTCCTTAATCTGGAGTAGGTTAGGCAGGTCAGGCTTTCTATTTCTTTCTGTAATACATTTTCTCCAGGCTTTACAACTTCCTTTTCTACCTCTAAAAAAAATAGGAGGTGAAAATTTAGAATTGTTCCATTGACTACAACTAATGCCTTATTGAAAGGCAAGTCTGAGTTCTGATTTATAATGCTCCGAACATGCCCATATGTGTTACTAACTGGGGCTTCACTGTTGTAAAATGTAATTCTGTGCTTTTTCTAATAAACATATTTTTTATTTCAATTTTCTTGTTCTGGGAGGGAAACCTACTTTATGCTCAAGCATAGATAAGCTTTAGTTCCATGTATTTTATCATCTGTACAGTAATTGTCAATGTGTCTCAATGGGGAGAAATTTCATTTTTGTGTATATCCTTTTAAATATGTTGATTTATGCAGGTTAAATTAAGTAGAAAGTTATTTTTGTGGGTCATTATTTCCATTTGTTTCCCTTCTACAGAAAAAAAAAAATAAGAAATCAGTCTTTTAAACATTTTATTTCCTGGATCTTGTGAACATACCAGCAAATCATGTACTCAATTGACTTCATCTCTGCCGTTGAATTTACAGTAGTTGACATAATTTTAGTTTTTTTTTTTTTCTTTTTTAAATGTGCTGCTTTTTTTTTTTTTTTTAAGTAGAGACTTATCTGTGCTCTTACTTGTTTCTGCCCCAGCAATATGACAAGAACAGTGGAGATTTCTGGGGAAGGAGGCCCCTTGGGAATACACGTGGTGCCCTTCTTTTCATCTCTGAGTGGAAGGTAAGATGTTTTCTTTCCATCAGAAGCTCGTGCTAATGAAAAACTTGACTTCAGCTCATTTTCCCAAACATGATTCAGAAGAGGATTAAATGTGTATCTCTGTTATTCAGACAGACACCTCACATATACTTCTGTTGGCCACTTAAGTGTTAGAAACAAAGATACAGTGTTACTTCTAAGATACAGTGGAAAAGCAACAGTATCAATTACCATTTCCACATTTGCACTTAATTATGCAGTATTTTCTTTTTTTAAACAAATATTAATTAATTCATTTATTGGAAAGAGAAAGAGAGAACAGGCATGAGGAGGGCAAGTAGGAGAAGGAGAAGAAAGAAATAGACTCCCCATTGAGTGTGGAGCCAGACATAGGCCTCGATATCACGATCCTGAGATCATGAGCTGAGCCAAAATCAGGAGCTGGATGCTTAACTGGCTGAGCCACCCAGGCGCCCCTGAAGTATTTTCTTAAAGTGTTCTTGTCAGTGACATGTAGTAAACACAATCCTTAAGAAGGTTTTAACATACTGTTAGACAAATATTACAACTGAACTTTTTAATGTTCCAAAATACACTTCAAAAAGTGAAGGTGGTCATCCAAATTGATATTTCCTGATTCTGTTCAGGTATATGGGAACGTAGGATAATAAATATTCTAGCATTGTAAGTAGCTATATCAGAAGCTATATGTTTTCATGATTTTAACTATAATAGTAGGGTACTATTGTGCTTTTTTTTGTCTAAAATAAAATGTAATCAATTAAAAACAGAATACCACCTCCTTTTGAAATTTTAAAAACATTTAATTGCTAAATCCACAGTGGCAAATGGTAATTTAGATGTCAGCGTTTTTTGAAATTCATGTCCACCTAACTGGATATAAAAGCTGTTTTACTGTCGAAGATTGAAGTGTGTGCCTGAGAGTTAATATTAGTACTATTACAACAACTTTACAAAACTAGTATTAGATATTGTGTCACTGTTCAATAAGATGAGTACCTTTAGCACTAGATTGATAATGACAAGAGCTATCTTAAAAGAAAGGACTTTCCTTACTGAGTTCCTATAAGTAAAAAGCATATTTTAATTAATATGCAAAATTTATTTTTCTTATATTAAATGCATCACTGAAAATTTCAGGCAGAATGCCTTATTTTAGCTTAAGAGAGCAAAGTCCAGGAAAGACCATTAATTTTTTTTTCAAGGTCATACAAAATCCAGATCCAATCCCCCTTACTCCCTTCCTCTTTCTAGAGCAAAAATTTCCCAAAGGTTATATAGTATTAATTTACTGGTTCAGAATATTTATTCAATTCAGTCTGCCACATAGCAGGAAGAGCAGATTTAGTCATGATATTTTGGTTGGCATCATTTTCAGCAGGTAGCCATCTGCTACCTGTAATTGCAAAGTCATCACCTTTTTTTGCAAATAACATCTGATGCGAACCAAGCTCTTGCTGGAATGAATGTTCTCTAAAAAGAAATGAACTGAAAAGCCAGTGGCTCTTATTGTTTTATTTCCTGTATGTGTTAATAAGCATGTTTATAAATGTTATGGGTTATGGCACAGGACAAGCTGAGGTGGTTTTTGATAGACAGGAAGAGTATTTACCCAGTTGTCATGAGAAATTCTAATGGCTTTTGGCAGAAGTGTGCTGATAGAGCTTTGCGAAATACCAGAGCGGTTAAATTACCAGGCCCTTTAGTTTAATGAAGCCGGAATAGAACACAAGATCATCCCAATTTCCAAAACGTGAAGAAATGTACAATGTGACAGTCACCATACTTCATTTTCAATAGTTCAGAAAACAAGTTGACCCTGTAAACCAGAAATCACCTTCTCTTACATCAGATGAGGGAAATACACTAAAATGTATTGATTTCTTCCCTTTTCCTTCCTGGTTCTGACTTACAGCATAAGCCTTGAAGAATAGAAAAAAAATGTTACACTTGGATTCAGAACAATTGGATTTTAATCTCAGTGTTCTCTTTTATAACTTTGAACAAGTCCCTAAACTTGCCTCTTGTGAATACCTACTTCACATCAAGGTTGTAGGGATTAAATGAGATTAAAAATGTGAAAACTCCTTGTAAAGCACACAACACATGAATGTGTAAATTATCAATATTATTAATATTTCGGCTAAAACAAAAAAGCCTCGTTCAGAAGTGAACTTTTATAAGTTCATGGTTAACTGTTCAGTAACTTGATGAAATAGTTGTATAATTTTTTTTTTTTTGCTCTCCATTAGTATTATAGAAAGGAAATTTAATTAAAAAACATAAAAATAATATGGAAGTGGAGACATGAGCCAATAAAAGTTAAGAGGTAATGAGTACAGGCTGAAACAGCACACTTAACTCAACCCATGTGTTTAGATGCAACTGAGTACAGAGCGTGTCAGACAAGTGTCTGACTTCATAACGCCATATGGTTTCAGTGTATGAGCTCGGGGGCTGGGGGTTGGTGGGTTAAGGTCATAGTGGGGAGACTTAGTTCTTAATTTCCTTCCATTTATTGGTTTGTGTCATTATTTTAAATTAGAATTTACATTTAATTCTTTACTGAGACTACTGTAATTGACTTTGCCTCCAATTTCTAGATATATATGTGTGTGTGTATATATATATATATTTCAGAAAAATACTGCCACACCTGTTGTTGAATAGGAACTGTAATCTCAGTTAGAACACCCTGAGTACAATATTGTGGCTGCTGTACCAGATAAGGCTTCAGCGGATTCATTAGGCACGACCGCATTGGGTGTTAAATGCCATCTGTATGGAGGCCCCTTGGTGTGTACAGTCAGAATCAAAACAAATATACAAAAAACTGAGTTCCTACAAGTAAAAAGGAATTTTACTTCATTGACTTAAAAAAAAAAAAGGTACTTTTGTTTTAGAATGAAATCTAATTGTTTTTCCAATAAAGATAGCATAATATACTTTTGTTTCCTAGTAAAGACAGCTAAATATGACAGAGAAGAAGGAAGGGATGGGAGAGAAATGACGTGTAATGTAAGGAGAGGCGATGTTTAGATAAAAATGCGAAGCTGGTAGAGTGGCCAAGGCCTGTGATGCAGTGGGGAGAGCAGAAGGGGCCAAGGAGTGGTTGGGTTAATGTCTACATGATTATTAGAAGAAAAAGAAGTAATGACCACCCCTCTTATTCTGTAGGGCAGTGGGTTTCAGCCTCCTCTATCACTGCTCATTAATGCAAATTAACTGGTTCCTCTGAGCCTATAATTCCTCAACAGCATTAATCTTTAACTCCTGAGAGCCTTGGTCCCCAGTGAGACCATGACCACAGCCCACCAGTTTGGGGCAGAGAGGAAAATGAGAGATTCTTTTCTGAGCCTTCTTATACTGGTCTGGATGAAATCGAACTGGAGGGAATTTGTCCCTTCTATGGAATAGAGAAGGCAGGCATGGTTTGTTGCCAGGGACCAAATTAATAAAATCAGTCAGTTTTACATTTTACCAAAATTACCTCTGACACATGGGTTTTACAGTTGAGCTTATTCTGTCAATAAATTTTTCATGGAAAGTTAGGTTATTTAGATCAGTGAGGTTCACATAGCATACTCCAGCTGTAATATGCCAGCGAAATTGCAACCCAGTGGCCTGAAAGAATTAATTCATCTCCCAAAATGTGAAATTAAATCCTAGGGAGTAACATTACATGACTGATGATGTACTGAATTAAATTAAAGGAAGACTTGAATGCTTGTTAAAAAAATATCGCTTACATAAACTAGTTTATAACCACATGTGAGCCTCCTAATGGATCATGTTATTGTGAATCCACCATAACAAAAAAATCCAAAATGTGAACTATTCGAGAGTTGTTTAATTTAAGAAAGAAACACTGTTTCATTCTATTTCTTCTTCTTTTTCCTCCCCTTCTTTTGCATGTCAAATAGCTCAATTTTTATATTATATTATGAGATTAAGGTAGGATTAGGATCTCAAAAATATTAATTTGAATCTCAGATCCTTTATCAAATAGTAGCTTTGGCCCCTTTTCTCTTCCACACAGAGTATGTTCAATTTACTAATCTCTTACAGGAAAGACAGCAGAACACCACCCCACATGCCTCTGACCCTGAGCCATCCTTACCACAGGGGGCGTGACTCACTCTCCCCTACATCAGTGCACTGTACCTGTGGGGACAGAGACCTGAGGACCGGCAGGTGCCCCTCTTCTTGCCACCTTCAGATGACAGGAGCTCATTAAGTGAATGGGGGCCCCTGGAGGCAGAGCTCCTACTGGGTGGCTGTTCCAAACAGGAAGACAGTTTTCTTCTCTACTCTCCTTAGAGACTGTCCTCTCTCCATGGCTTATTCCCCCGTAAGATGTTCTCATATTGGATGGGAGATTTAATGCAATTGGGCTGTGTGATCACATAGGAGGCCTGTATGCAAAGAAGAAAGACAAAGCAGAAAAATAGGAGAATGAGGGACAAGGAGGTGGCTGTCTCTCCCATGCCCAGCAGAGTCCTCGTGGAGGACGCATCTGTTTTATTCTGGGGACACAGTGAGGGCCCTGACATGCCACAAGAGGAAGAGAAATCACTCATCTGAGAACTAGCTAAAACACATACAAGTTTGATTTCTTAACGTTTTTGGTGTAGATACTACTGAAATACCACAGAATCACATGCACACACCAGGCATTTCGTTATTGCTATAGCCTTTCTCTGTCCTTTTTTCTCAACTCCTCCGTTCCCGACTCTCAGTGGCATCTGGGCTGTCCTCTCTGAATTCTGAGTCTTACTGGTTGAAATTGCAGACGAGTCTTCCCAGCGCCCCCCACCCCCGCCACTGCCATCACGTCTCTGTCTCCCTCAGAAGCCATGAGTGTTGGGTGTGCTGCTCCTGTGTGATTAGATGAAGTCCAGCAACTGGTGTTCAAGGCCCCTCTGTGCGGCTCTGGCCTCCCCAGCCAGTGCGAGCTCCCCACAAACATGCAGGGTTCAGCCTGCCCCCCCCCCCACTCCGTGTCTGTTCTCTCTCTCCTCCCATCCAAATCCTACTCACTCTTCAGATCCAGTTTACATCTCACACTCTCCCCCGATCTCCCATTCTCCATCCTGAGCGCTGGAAGGGTCCCACATGTACTTGATTCAGGGGCACCCATGGAATGGGACCAAACTACCTTTTAACCTGAGCAATACGATCTGTGCGTAAATATTTGCTTCTTAAAGATGCAGATTACTAGAGCAGGTAGCATGACTGCAAAAAACTCTGGTGACTGTCTCGTCCTCTTCCGTCATTAAGCTTCAGGTTGTCTCGGCACCACTCACACCTGTTACAGTCAGCCTGACGTCCTTCTCCGAACCGGACGCCTCTGTGTCCCCGGCTCCACTGAGCTGTGGTGGCCGTTTCTAAAAATACCGCAGGCATGGCCATGGAGGCCTGGCTCCGCGTGCTCTGGGTCAGTGTTTACGTCTGTCTGTCTCGAAGGCCTTTTTTTCTTTCAGTGGATTTGTTTTTTTCCACTAAGGATTTAAACAACAAACAGTTGCCTGACTCTAAAGCATAATTTCTTTCATAAATAGAAACCAATACTCAGTTCTGAATAGTTGTGAGTGGAGAAAAAATCAGCATATTATTATCCAGTAATTCTATTTCAACCTCAATTTTGCATTTAGGATTCTAGGACTCTTCATCCGCGGCATTGAAGAAAATAGCAGGTCCAAACGGGAGGGACTATTTCAAGAAAATGAATGTATTGTAAAAATCAACAGCGTGGACCTCGTAGACAAAACCTTTGCTCAGTAAGCATTTTTTTCCCATTGTTTTATTTACTGTATTGGTTGCTGGTATACATACAGTCATTATTGCACTTTTGATGATCAAAATTGTTGGTAGACTTTTCTGGTCAGTCCCCTCTGAATGACTGCAGGACATCCATTCCCAAAGGCATCTTAATGTGTTATAGAAGGTGGCCCGCACTTGTCCCCGGCGGCCCCAAGAACAGGAGGCTGCAGAGCCAACGAGCCTCCCCGCCTGGTTGTCTGTTTGGATCATCCTTGGATGAGTTTGTTTTGCTCGGGATACGGGTCAGTTAGGCTGGTTTTTAACGGCTCTTTTCACAGACTGTTAGTTCAGCTTATTAATTAACTAGCTCTGTGTCAGCAGTCTTCCTTAACCTAAAGGGCCTAGAGAGATGTCTGTGAAAACTCACTGAGAAATAGTAACAAATGAAAAAAAATTAAAATATTCTCCCTGAAGTAATCATTTTTCAGCATGTGCGAATGTTATGGGACGAGGTTCTTAGAGCTAAGAATAGCGTGTGAAACAGTCACATTTTTTTTTTAAACATATGGTGGCATTGCAGTGGGGCTCTGGAACAAGGGAATAAATACTAATTACTACTCCTTAGTAATGACCACACATAATTCCTATTTATTAGGAATAAATACTAATTACTACTCCTTAGTAATGACCACCAGCTTCTCTTGTTTCTGACCAAAACAATGCATCATATATATTCTTTGTAACCATTCTCTGTCAATATTTGTATGTTTGGTTGTGGCGGGGGGGATTGAGGGGGAGGGTGAATGGTTGTGGGTGAGAAGGGCTGTGGGCACTGATTGCTTAAGTGTGGAAAGAAATGAAAATGGAAAAATCTATTTCTTCAAATCATAATACCGGAGTACTTTGTACAAGGACTTGATAGGTTTGTGAGGTGAAAACTGAGGCTCATAAAAATTCAGTATGAAGGTAACGCCAAGCAGAAGCTGACTCCCAGGCAGGTAACTGACCAGAGGAGTTGGGCTACCTCTGTGGGATCTTCTTCCCTTCCCCTACCAGCATGGAAAGTAAGTACTTTATTCAGTAAGGTTAGGGGTTGGGGGGAGGGACGTATCAGATAACAGTTAGAATTATGATTTGTTATTATTTGATGTGGCTGCTACTGACAGAGACCTGAAATAAAGGCACCTTGAACAAGATTAATATTTCCCCCACCAGGGACAAGGAAGTGTGGAGGTGGCAGTCCCAAGTTGGTGTGGCAGTTCCACAAGCTGCGTTCTGAGTTTGGAGAAATGGGAGAAGAAAGCCCTTTCTGGCTCCCAGCTTTCCTGGAACCCTTCTGTGTAAATCTCATTAGCAAGAAAGGCTGGGAAAAGTAGTTGTTTTACGTAGTCATGAGGCATAAGGATGAAGGGGAGAAACGGTAGTAGGGAATCTGAGGAAAAACACCAAGTACTAAGACAAAAAAGGGAAAAATACTAGTACTCTGTGATAGACTAACGGGGAGGGTACATATTGGATTGATAATTCACTATGACACTGGGCACAGCCAATGCATCAAATATCTCCATGAGAAAATGTTTGTGTCAGAATTGAAATTCTGGAGCACAACCCATTTTAGAGAGGACCTGTACTTCAGAACAGAGCCCTAAAAGGAACTGGTATTCTGATCAGTACTAAAGAGGATTTTTTCCATTTAAAAATAAAGTTTGCTTTTATACTTACTTAGGAATGCCTTCTGGATGGATTTTCAGATTTAGAAATACTTAAAAACCAAGGGTCATTGGATGAGTTATCTAATCACTCTGAGTCTCTGTCTCCTTGTTTTGCCAAATAAGAGTGAATTGTACATACTTACAACGAAATGAGAAGATTGAGGAAGTTGTTAAAAAGATTCAAGGGGAGAATTGTGTGTGTTACTAATGCATGTGTAGCCCAGTGTCAGGGCGCCTGGTGGGCAAGTGATAAGCGGTAATCCGTATTTCCTGGGCAGTCATCCTGGTGGTAACAGTAACGGTTGCTCCGATGCTGCCCCTGTGGCCATGACATGGGGTGCTGTCGGTGGCATGCTAGAACATAGTATTGTTATATATTTACTAACTCTCTTTGAAGGGCTCAAGATGTCTTCCGTCAGGCGATGAAATCGCCCAGTGTGCTCCTCCACGTGCTTCCACCTCAAAACCGTGAACAGTATGAAAAATCAGTCATTGGACCGCTTAACATTTTTGGTAACAATGATGGCATTTTGCGAACCAAGCCACCGCCTCCTGTCCATGGAATAAAAACCGTAACTCTCACAGGAACAGGGGGTCCTGAAGAGGATGCTTTGACCTCTCTGCAACAAAGCAAGAGCCCCCGGGTACCAAGACTGGGTAGAAAGCCATCCTCTCCCTCACTCTCCCCTCTCATGGGGTTTGGCAGCAAGAAGAATGCAAAGAAAATTAAGATTGACCTAAAGAAAGGTAATTATTAAATTATGCTTAATAGCATTCTATTATTGTAACATGTAAAATTGGTTAAGAGAAATGCATTAAGGCTAATTCCGTTAATTCTCCCTTCATTTAATTGTATCAAAGAATAGATTTAAGTAGGTAACTTAAATCTCTTGAAATTGTACCACTTTCTTATTCTTCTGGAGAGTATAGATTATTTGAAACAAACAAACAAAAATGATAAAGATATGTTGGAAAATGGAAAGAACCATTGTGACCTGGGGAGAAACAGAGTACTTAAGAAGCACTGAAATTCTTTTGGACCCTATTTTGAGTAAGATTACTGAGTTCTATAGCACCCTTTAGGTCAAGTCTAAAAAGTGCATATATGTTTCTGGTTCTCTAAGTCACTTTTATGCCAGCAAAACATTTAGTCCTCAAAAAGTAAACATGTGATAATTATAATTGATAATTATTATATATAATTATATAATTGAAATTTTGCTAATTCAGCATTGCAAACAGTTTTTCAAAACATACTTAATTTCATGAGGGCACCTGGGTGGCTCAGTGGGTTAAAGCCTCTGCCTTCAGCTCAGGTCATGATCCCAGTGTCCTGGGATCAAGCCCCGTATTGGGCTCTCTGCTCAGCAGGGAGCCTGCTTCCCTTCCTCTTTCTGCCTGCTCTCTGTCTACTTGTGATCTCTGTGTGTCAAATAAATAAATTAAATCTTTAAAAAACAAACAAACAAATAAAAAAAAACATACTTAATTTCGAAAGCATATATAACCTTGTCTTCATCTTTTCCAATTTTCTTTGCATTTCAGACCCAGATCAGTGAGACTAGGACATGTATATACATGCATGTTTCTCCAATATTATATATACATAAGCCTTCCTATACTTCTGTGCTTTTGTTTGTTTGTAACCTCCTCATCATCTGTACCCCCACTGCAAACCTTCTGCAATCCTATGTGATTTTTAAGACTTGATTCAAAAGAAACCAAAAGCTCAAATTTTTGTCTGAATTACTACAGAATTTAATGATTATATATACTTATATATAAAAAAACAAATAACATGCACCTTTAATTAGGGTATAGTGGTTATTCTGAAAGATCCTCTGGTCAGAGTTTTGTCTTATATATAAAAATATACTTATATATACTTATATATAATATACTTATATATAAAAAAACAAATAACATGCACCTTTAATTAGGGTATAGTGGTTTTTCTGAAAGATCCTCTGGTCAGAGTTTTGTCCCCCTTAAGAATTCTGTACTAAGAAGAAACTGTATTGACTAGGAGGCACAAATTCATCTGTGTGCTTAGCAATTAGGCTTTAAAAAATAAAAGTTATTTATTTATTTGAGAGAGTGAGTGAGCATGTGCATGTTCATGCATGAGTGGGGGAGGGGTAGAGGGAGGGAGAGAAGAGAATCTATAAGCAGACTCCTTGCTGAGCAAAGACCCTGATGCAGGGCTCGATCCCAGGACTCTGAGGTCCTGACCTGAGCTCACTTAACCAACTGAGCCACACAGGCACCCCTAGGCTTTTTAATATAACTGTATCAGTTATGTTTTTTGTACAAATTACCCAGCTACGTATAAGACATGGGGTTGGGTGCTTTGAGGATAGATAAATCAGACACAAAATGTAACCTTAAGAATCCACCAGAGGGGTGCCTGGGTGGCTCAATGGGTTAAAGCCTCTGCCTTCAGCTCATGTCATGATCCCAGGGTCCTGGGATTGAGCCCTGATTCGGGCTCTCTGCTTAGCAGGGAGCCTGCTTCCTCCTATCTCTCTGCCTGCGTCTCTGCCTACTTGTGATTTCTGTCTGTCAAATAGATAAATAAAATCTTTAAAAAAAAAAAAAGAATCTATCAGAAAAATCTTGCCATTTGCAATGACGTGGGTGAAACTAGAGGGTATTATGCTGAGTGAAATAAGTCAATCAGAGAAAGACAATTATCATATGATCTCTCTGATATGAGAAATTTGAGAGGCAAGGTGGGGGATTGTGGTGGGTAGGAAGAGAAAAAAAAACCAAGATGGGATCAGGAGATATCCAAACCCTAAGAGACTCTTCATCTCATGAAACAAACTGAGGGTTACGAGGGGGTGGGGTGTGGGCATAGGGAGAGGGTGGTTGGGTGATGGACACTAGGGAGGGTATGTGCTATGTGAGTGGTGTGAAATGTATAAGCCTGATGACTCACAGACCTGTACCCCTGGGGCAAATAATACATTATATGTTAATAAAAATAATTTTCAAAAAAGAATTCATCAGAAAGCCTTGAATGCAAAAATAAAGAATATGCGATCATATTGTTGTACTTTGGGAAGATTAATCTGACAGCAAAAAGGTACGCTGAAGGAGAGATCAAAGAACAAAGGATCATTGCATCTGCCTAAATGGAATATGTATGCCATGCCTGCTGACCGGATATAGGAGAGGAGAGAGAGAGGAATTGCAAGTGGCTTGTTCAATGGAGATACCATTACTAAAAATTAGAATTTTTAGTAGATAAATATACGTAAAAAGGCCAGGATCTGGATTGGAGCCAGAGATTCATAGTAAAGTTTGAAATGCTGGTGAAAGTGTGTGCGTGGTCCTGTCAAGCAAGCCAACACCAGAGAGATTAGGGTCAACAAGATTCAGGTGTCATCCATGGGGAGCTGACTATTGGAGCTGGGAGCTGGCCAAGGCAGAGAATCCGGAAAACAAACTGGTCTAGGGCAGATCCTTGGATATCTTTGTTCGTGTGGGAGGATAGTGGGTAGGAGACAGTGGTAGACATGATGTGATCAGAGAGTTAGGAAAATAATCAGAAGATACAGACATGAAAACCAAAGAGGGGGCCATTAATTTCAAGAGAGCAATTGGTGAGAAGGGTCAAAGCTAGAGAGAGGGACAGATCAGAAGAGGGAAAATTAGTGGATGTAGTCATGAGTAGGTCATGGGTGGTGGAAGACTGAAGAAGTAAGATTGCAATAAGGATTCTTAGGGCAGAGATGTTCAGATAAGTGAAAGTGAAAACCACCTACTGGGAGAGAAAGAGATTGAGATGCAAGAGAATGGGACAGCAAGAGTGAGGGAGGGAGCAAGGGGATGCAGCCTAGAAGGAATCCAGGAATTGAGGCCCAGGTGGGGGGAGGGGCAGGTTGGCTAACTGAGTGAATGCCTGACAAAACTCATGTCAGATGGCCTTTGGCTGCTCATGGTTTACCGAGAAATCGATCTCCTGAGTTTATGGATAACATGTGCCATTTCTTCTGGGGCCTCCATAAACAAAAGTGTTACACATCTGCATTGGACCCTAAAATCCACTTTGAAACCATCATGGCCTGTCAGGAACGATAATCTGTATTTGCAATCAGAACAACTGAAGTGAATTTAAAATATTTGCTGGAATGTAAACATTTTAATTATTCTATGTTAGTCTAAATTAGGTAGATTTTTCTGCAGTTTTCTACTTAAGGTGACCATGTGTTTTCCTGGTCTTACACACTAGGCCCTGAAGGACTGGGTTTCACTGTGGTTACCAGAGACTCTTCCATACATGGGCCTGGTCCCATTTTTGTAAAAAACATTTTACCAAAGGGAGCAGCAATAAAAGATGGCCGCCTACAATCAGGGGACAGAATTTTGGAGGTAAGAATTGGAATTAATATCTTCAATAAAATATGTTTAAATAAATATGTTACTATTTATGTTTTGACATAATATATTAAAAACTATCACTTGTAGAAAAGATAAAGACTTTAATTATTTAAAAAAATTAGTTAATGGGAAGTTTGACTTCTAAGTTCCCCGTACAGTCAGTGATATAAGCACATGTAACACCTCAAACTTTTCCCTGTCTTCTCTGTCTTACTTCCACCTCTTAGGATCCCTGGGGAATTTGGATCAAATCCACAAATTTGTCATAAATGCAGTTAGGGCTAAGAATTTCCGAATCATAGCCAAACTCTGGTAACAATATCTTTAAACTTCTCCTAGGGATGGGCTGCCTGTCTCAGGTTGATCCATACCTAAAAAGAAGTATCTGGAACTACCCAAAGCAAGAGGCTTTCCTCCATGTATTTTTGTTTTGTAGCATTGTCTTCTTGGCTAAATACATATTGTCAACTTACCTTTCAAGAAATCTTCCTCATTGAAACTGGCTGGTTCTATTTAACTTTCTCATGGCACAGAAGCAAAACTATAGATTTTCATATGGTTCTAGATTATGAAAGAAGATATATCAAATGACTAATATAGCTCCAAATTCTAATTTCTAATAATCTATGATATCCGGGAGACTATAATTTTCTAGACATGGAGAACACTGTTTAATTATAACGAAAGACTTCGCTGCCAAAGGAATTTGCCATGTGATCATGATCCATTTTTTTTTTGCCTTTTTTTTTTTTTTTTTTGTATTAGGCAGAAAATGGTGCCAGTTCAGCATCTTAAATCCACTTCTTTCCTCTTTAAGGAATTATTTTCTTCTGTCAGTTTGATGTCCCCCTCATAAGAATGTGATATCTTAGGAGAAACTGCTTATACTAACTACTGTCTATCTGAAAGGATCTAGCACCATAATAAGGATGGTCAATGTAGTACTGGTACTTTGAACATTGTTGGTTTGGGTCCCTGTGTTCAGTTGTCATCTTTTCAGAGCTTTATTGATTGTAGGAGCCCATTTGCTACTTACTTTCAGAAACCATCTAGCATAGAAGGAGGTGGAGAGTGTTGTAATCTGTTCATATGACGGCATCCATTAGGTAAATGGCAGAGATGTCACTGGGCGAACACAGGAAGAACTTGTGGCCATGCTGAGGAGCACCAAGCAAGGAGAGACAGCATCGCTGGTCATCGCCCGTCAAGAAGGGACTTTTCTTCCCCGAGAGCTGGTAATGTTCAGGTCACAGTCTCACTGAATCTTCAAGGCAGAGTTTAATCTACCCAGTGAATTCATAGGAGCTGAGAGATGAGCTCTGAATCACACTAAGAGTTTTTTGAGGGGGGGTGTTCCCATTTGGGGGTGTCATGGCTTTACAATATTAATGCAGTGAGTTGGACATACACCAACAGTGCTTCTGGGATGCAAATTCAAAACCCTTTTAAGGAAGCAATTTAACGGTATTCAACTAAATAAAATATACTTTGAGTGTTGGACTATATGTTAGCTTTATGCAAAACATAGTCAGCAAAGATGGTCATGCGCCGCCTTAATGCAGTTTGTAGTCTAAAAGGAAATAAAATATAACCAAGTCTTCAAAATGGTGATGAGGGTGATGAACAGGAATGGCAGGGTGTACTAGGAATATGGCACAAGGGAATTTAACCTAGTCCTGAGGGCCAAAAAAGGTACCCTGAGGAAGAGAGTTTCAAAAGTCTTGTGAGAATGTATGTTCTTTGACCTACTAACTATACTTTTAGAAATCTGTCCTAAACTGATCATCAAAGATGTGGAAAAAACTCATGTACAATGATTTTTTTTTTCCTCAAGTCCCATTTATTGTAGTGATCTATCGGGTGCTGTACAACCATAAAGTATTGTTTAGATAACTAGATAGCTCTCCAGTGATATATAATAGTGATTTAAAATGGTCTTGGTGATGAACTGATAATAACATGAGAAAACGTGCATAGCACATTAAGGAAAAAAAGTAGTATATAAAATGACATATGCAGCATGATCAGATCACATTAAAATATCTTAAAAAAAAAAAAAACAAAGAACCAGCAGGAGATACACCCAGAATGTTGGGATTATGATACATTTTAATTTTTTCATTTTAAAAACAATGAATACCTATTATTTTATTATTGATGTGTATTTAAGAAGGCTATAGAAAAATGTGAAGGACTTTTATGGCTAATAACAAAAATGGAATAGATGTGGTAAAAAGGATTTTTAATTATCCCTTTTTGAAAATTTTATTTCTTTTATTTCTCTTGAATCTATCTAAGAAATGACAAAGGTACATATGGGTAATAAGGTGGGTTCCCAGAGTTAGGTCATCAGAACCAGTGAGAGTGGGGCACCTGGCTGGCTCAGTGGGTTAAAGCCTCAGGCTTCGAGTCATGATCAGCTCAGGTCATGATCCCAGGGTCCTGGGATCGAGCCCCACATGAGGCTCTCTGCTGAGCAGTGAACCTGCTTCCGCCGCTCTCTCTCTCTCTCTCTCTGCCTGCCTTTCTGCCTACTTGTGATCTTTGCCTGTCAAAAAAAAAAAAAAAAAAGAACCAGTGAGAGTTAGTTGAGAAAACTGACTGTAGTTAACTTGAAAAAGAGAAAATTTAGGACATATTTTTATTGCTATCAAATAGATAAAGGGTTTTTGCACAGATTAAAAAAGTAGACTTAATATATTTCTTCAGGTATTTCTTTCATTAGCATACTTATGTATTAATCTGACTAATAGTTTACTATTACATGATGCCCACTAAGTTTGAGGTTCTGGGGATACAAAAATAATTAAGACTCATTTCCTGTCCTCCTTGAGCTGATAAAAGAACAAATATTTGGAAGTGATAATGTTATAAGTTACAATAGTTTCTAACTATTGGAGCTGTCCAAAAAGAAAACAGGCAACTTAGAATATTGGAACAGAGCCGGCCTCACCGTCTATTAGAGGTGCTCTAGAAAAAATTCTTCCATTGATAAGGTGATAAGGCTAGATAAATTCTTAGGTATCTACTCTAAGCCTAATATTCTGTTATCTATGTTTATATTCATGTTTGAATATGCAATCTTCCTGAAACACCTCTCTCATTTATTAATGCTCCTTAGTACTGACAAAAGGACCCTCTTCCCACACGTTTCTGTTCCTTTCTTCTCGTTCCCATCATCTTGTCCATTTTTCCCCTTGCCCTATTGAAAGCTCTGGGAAGATCTGCAACAAAACAGTGAAGGGAAGAAGATTGGGTGGTATGAGTTATAAAGACTAGACGCCTCACCTGCTTTCCTCTGCTTGATTCCTCCATTGCCAGCCATTTTGGAAGGCAGAATCTTGAATTTCCGTTTCATTTCCTCACTTAGCTCCTTACTCTTCCTAAAAAGAAATGCTGCAGAAACTTAGAGTCCAGTTTTTTTTTTCCTAAAATGCAGATGGAATTTTCTTTCAATCCTTTGTTTATCCAAAGACCTTGGTCTTTCTCTACAAGGGTCACAGTGAGAAGAAACAATTAGAAAGAGGCAGCATGTGCCTATAACAGGAAGCCCTTCACTTCTTGTCCAACTGTTTGGTTGCTGGTGATAAAAGTCTTCGAAAACTTTAGTGAGACTATGTGCATGTGTCAGGGATTGGAGAACAAGGAAAGAAATTTTGACTGTGTACTCTGTTGAACTATGGTCCTGGAATGAGTGAAACCCTGCATAGAAAGAGAAACATTCCAGGAGCACCTGGGTGGTTCAGTCAGTTAAGTATCTGCCCTCACCTCAAGTCATGATCCCAGGATCCTGGGATTGAGTTGCTGTGTGGGGCTCCCTGCTCAGCAGGAAGTCTGCTTCTCTCTCTGCCCCTCCCCCCACTTGCGCATTCTCTCCTGTGCATGCTTTCTCTCTCTCAAATAAATAAATAAAAGCTTTAAAAAAAAAAAAAAAGAAACATTCCAGCCAACAAAAGAACCTAATAGCAGAGCTCCAGCAGAGAACTCATACCCTGTGAGGCCTCAGTTTCCCATCTAATAGTTCCTTTTACCCCTTTCCCTGTGTCTTCTCGAATTCTTAACTTCACAGCTAATCCTTTGCTCTAGAAACATACCACCTCCCCTTCCCAGGTAAGGGGAAGAGGGATGTGACGTTACCCAGGTTGAAACTCTGAATGGATTCTCGATCACAGACAATTGCAGCTGGAAGTTAATGAATGTAAAAGTAGAATTTTCAGAGCAAAGGGGGCCGAAAGAATCAGCGTGTCCAAACCTGATTCGGAGATGAGAAAACCAAGGTGCAGTGTGATGGAGTAACCTGTTGATGGTCCTGCATGGCTCAGGAACTGGAGGCATAGGTTTCTTAATGCTTGGTGCATTATCTCTGGAGTTTTCTGGAAGCTCCACAGCACACAAGGTTTCTGTGTGATCTAGAGCAGCTCATAAAATCATTCGAAGGCTCTGTTGCCTCATCTTTATCAGAGGATTGTTGTGAAGCTCTTGGCATAGTTCCTGGCTGATTGTAAGTCTCAGTATATGTCAGCCAGAACTATTCTAGTACCTTCCCACACAACAAAAACACAATACTAAACTTTAGATACCTTATGGGGAAAATAGCTCTATTCAGGCTTGCCTGGGACTAACCATTATTTTGAATATTGATTTTTTAATTATTTATTTTAAAACACATACTGGTATCCAAAATACTGAATTACAAAATAAAGAAAATTTTTTTTGGTCTGAAACTAAATCCATAATTCAGGCAGCCTGTATGTATTAGTTCACGCTCATTCAGTAGAATTTAGTGAAATTTGATTTCTATCCCAGAAAGTGACATCATAGGCCAAGCCCCCCCCAGGGAGCATATTAAATTAATGGTGCAACTGTGAGATTATGAGTGCAAATAAATTATTTGTTCTCATTGTTTTAGTTTTATACCAAATTTGGAAAGCATGTGGTTAGTATCCCTTCTCCTAGAATTCTCTGGCAGATAGTCTAGACTCTTTAAAAAACATTTGACTTCTAATTATCTAAATCTGTGGAATATTCTTTGTAACACAGCAAAGCAAAGCCTTTGAGGATTACAAGCTCCGAAGTAATGTGGACCCCAAATCCTTATGTTGAAGAAATGTGGAATGGTCTTCTTTGTCCAGCCCAAATGCTTTCCTTGAGTGCTAAGTGGCAAGAACCATCCAGGAAGTTTAAAGAGAGGTCACGTTTGGCACACACGGCACTATTTCACTGGGAATCACTTCATAGTGTGACATGCTTGGGACTATTTGAAAGAACAGAATGAAGAACAGCGTGCTATGTGACACATCTCTGTATTTTTCTTTCAAAAAAACTGAAGGTGTTACCGCTTTGGTCTCTCCTCCCTTATCGTGACTGATGCACACACTTGACTCCCATTGAAAATCTGGCAGGATGAAGGAAGGACAGCACTTCCTGCTTTTGTCTTGTTCTATCTCCTTTGAAGAAAACAAACTCTGTTTATTGTTTTCCTGTTCCGAGAAACTGTTCTCTCCCTTCTCTGAAGCCTTGCTGTTTCAGGAGCTGGGTCCCCTCTTAACGGCATTGCTCTGCCTAGTTTCTGGCAGTTAAATCTTCCTTACTTCCTTGTTATCTTAGCTCCTTGTGAAGTCTTAACACTTGGAGCCAAGGGAGCATGTGGTCAGCAGTTATACAGGAAGTCCCAATATAGGATGGTCTCTCTCCGATGTGACCCTCTGTCTTTCCAACGGCCCGAGCACCCATTTCCTGGTTATTTCTCCTGACCGGCCACGGGAGGACTGTGCTGAATTCTTTCCATGTCCTTCCTCTTGAGCCATCGGCTTGTATCACAAATGTAGCAGCACGTGTAGCCAAGCTTCATTCCGTCTGTGGCAGGCCAGGTTGAACATCAAGTGAGAGGAATTCGTGTACCAGCATCACAACTATTTAAGCTCTTTCTAGTATCTTTAGCAAAAGGGCTGTGTTTCAAAGGCAATCTTTCCAGAATCCCGAGCTGGAAGACCCTTTGATGTCTTTACCCCCTGACTGGGTAAGAGTTTATGAAAGAGGTGTTCCCATAAGGAACGTTTTTGCAAAAGGAACTTTGAGACTAGTGTTGGTAATAGAACCCCAAGGTGAAAGTGCCCCGTCTGCGTCTGTGCTTGAAATAAACACGGGGCTCGGTAATCAGCGCTTCGTTTGCTGTGTTCTGTGAGAGACACGTTCTGTGACTTCCCTCCCATCCCTGGCACCCCACATTCTTGTG